CTCCTCCTTCTGCAGGAGGGTCAGAACACGATGCTGCTCCTCCTTCTGCAGGAGGGTCACAACACAATGCTGCTCCTCCTCCTTCTGCAGGACATCTCATACCAACACCAGAACTCTGAGTCAATTTATTCCTCATCTGTGTTTGACAAAAAGCAGTGAGGACCTCAGAGCTGCCCAAGCTGTCGGCATCACCATGACGTCTCCTCTGAGGAGGAGACAAAGCAGGAGGAGGAGGGGGGATAAATGAGGATGGTGATGAGGAAAACGTCTGAGGTGGAGGACGAGATGAAGGAGATGGCAGGGTGAGAGGAGCAGCGAGACGAACAGCTCTGAAGCTGTAGTTTCATTAGAACAGCTGAGAGGCTCAATGAGAAGGAGCAGGAGGAGCAGGAGGAGGAGATGAAGCTGGGTTCAAAGCAGAGAGCCTCCCTCTGCTGAACTGTGTGAAAACTACAAGGATCAGTGTTTGTCTTTCAGTTTGTTGTTGTTTGTTTAGTAAACAACAGCTGGCCCGCTGCCTCCTGGGGTTTGTTCAGAACCTGATCTGGGTTCTGCTCCCTCTCAAACGGAGAGGAACCGGGCCGTGAGGTTCTGCAGGTACCACCTACGCTCGGATCGGATCAGCTCCTCTCTGTGGCAGAAAGCCTCTCAGTGTGGGGGAGTTGAGCATCATGAGGAGCGCACAGGAGCCGATCTACCGGGTGCGTGTTTACATGGGAGATGACCCCAAATGTCCCAACAACACATGAATGCACCAAGAGATGTTTAATGTCCTCAACATTCTAAAACATTTTCCTCCTCAGACTTGAACCTGTTCAAGCAAGAACAAATCTGACCTTTGACCTGACCCTAGTTCTGGTTCAACTGGACCAGTATGCAGACCCACTGCTGGGGAACTAAGCAAAGCCTGATGACATCATCGAGGCGTGGCCTTCAGCAGAGACCCGTCTGCAAAAACAAGCAGGTGTGCGTGACTTTCTCCATACGGCAGCTACAGAAGGACAAAAAGGCCGACCGGAAGTGGGTGGGGGGTGGGTTTGGTGTCACCCTGTGACCCAGAACTGAACCGATCAGAGCTCCGACAAGCAGTTCACATCCAACCCAGTCCAATAAACAGGATCTTCTTGACAACAACAAACTGGATCAAACTGTCAGAAGGTCATTACGGGAAGTTCCACAGCTGATGGGCATTCAAGATGTCCGCCACAGCTAATCTACCTCCACTGACACATAATGGTGCTAACTTCCTCACATGGAGGAGTAGCTGAGAGTCATCCCAACACACACCTCGAGCCTTAACATCTGGTGAGGTGGCAGCGGTGGCCATCTTTGATTAAAACTCGGTCATGAAAGATGGCGGATGATATGCATTCCTCCAAGGAATGTTGTAGTCAGTTTTCACATTAAAATTAGTTATGGATCAGCTGACATCCTCTTGGAAGGCTTTTATTTTAGCGAAACAGGAAGGAAGTTCAACAGAAAACAAACAAAACTTAGGTTTTATAGTTTAAATATGATGTCATCACCTGTTCTCCTTCAATAAAGACAAAGTCTGTTTAAGGACAACAGATTCTCCTCCTCCTGCTCCTCCTCCTCCCTTCATCTCAGAGGTTCTTCTCTGTTCAGGGAACAGATTTTCAGCTTAAATTGGTTTCAGACCCTGAGCTGCTTCAGTTTTTGCTCCATGAGCAGAAATATAAAAGCCTGGATCGAAACAGAGCGCCTCCACCTCGGGGAGAACCCGTCGATCAGCTGAGAGATGCTGCCGTCTGATTGGCTGCAGAGAAGGTAAACAGGAAGTACTTCCCTTTAAGTATGGAGGAGCGCCTCACTTATGTAACCAAAAAAAAAAAGAAAAACCTGAATAAAAATCAGTGGCATGTTTTGAAATTGCAGCCATGAGAGGAGGAAGCCTGAGGTTCTGATTCTGATGAAAAGGTCTGGTTAGTCTGAAATGATCTGATGGTTCCTCTGAGGATGTGATCAAAAACTGAATCAAAACATTTATAATGTGGGTTTAAACTGATTTACTAAAAAAATAAAAAAAATGAGCTGAGGATTTTCGAATGAATGACTTTTATTTTAATGTTTTGTTTAGTAGAAAAAGTACATCTCGCTCCGAACGCCTCCTGACAGGAGTCTCTGTTAAAGGCTCATTCTGTCTAATAAACCAGAAAACTACAGAAGTACAAAACTATTAAATATCAAAGAACAGAACAGAGACTGTGTGTTGAGGAGTGACAGAATATTTCTGATGAACAGAACATGATGCAGCCCAAACAGAACCCCAGGAAGTGACTCCTGACTGCTTCCTTTCAGAACCAAGAAAGGTTGAGCTCCAACAAAGAAGCCTGATTAAAAACACCCGAGCTGCTAATCCACAAACAATGTGCACTTCTTCTTCTTCTTTCGGCTTTTCACTCTTCAGGGGTCTCCACAGCGAGTCCTCATCCTCCATCTCACTTTGTCCTCACTCCAACTACCTCCATGTCCTCTCTAACTGCATCCATATATCTCCTAAAAACGTTAAATCTGGTCCTCTGGACATTCAAAAAAATAAAAACAAAAAATTGTAGAAACGTTTTCTACAATTTTTTTTGTTTGTTTTTGAATGTCCAGAGGACCAGATTTAACTTTTTTAGATTTTTCTACCAGGATTATTGAGCATGCATCAGGACATACATCTCCTCTTTGTCTTTTTCCTGGCATTTCTAACATCCTTGTACCAATATACCCACTGTCCCTCCTCTGGACATGTCCAAACTTCTGTCCCTCCTCTGGACATGTCCAAACCACTGTCCCTCCTCTGGACATGTCCAAACTTCTGTCCCACCTCTGGACATGTCCAAACCACTGTCCCTCCTCTGGACATGTCCAAACTTCTGTCCCACCTCTGGACATGTCCAAACCATCTCAGTCTGGTCTCTAACTTTATCTTCCAGCTGTTCAACCTGTGCTGTACCTCTGATGATCTCATTCCTAATCTTCTCCATCCTTGTCGCTCCTAAGGAGAACCTTAGCATCTTCATATCTGCTACTTCCATTTCTCTCTCCTGGTAAATCTGACGTCATTTATACTAGTCAGAATGAAATTAGAGATCTCTCAAAATAGTATTTTGACTAATCAAAATATAATTAAAGATATCTTAAATAACTAATGTGTCTAGTCAATCAATTTCAGATATCTGGAATATGTGGTGAATCCGATTTTATGTTAAAATGGCTTGCCACACAGGTACACCCACCTGTAGTGACGTCAGACTCCAACCCACCCATAGTGACGTCAGGAAAAAATAAAACGTTTTAAAATCTTGTTAAATCAGCTTCAACAGCTCCCAGAGTTATTCTGTGGAAGGACTAAGTTGTTTTTTAATCACTTTATTTATTATTTACTGTTCATTACACTCCCTCACTAAATTTAAATAATTGGTATAACTTGTTTACAACGAAACCGGAAATAGTTTGATAAAAATTGTGCGACTACTGTAATTGTTCACATTTTTGACCAAGTGGTGCTGTCTGTTTGTTCTGAACCGGTTAGCTGAGGTTCTGCGTTCAGAACTATGCGGGGAAACCCCGCACTGAAAACCAGGGCAGACACAAACACTGTGAGTCCATAATCGGACAAATTCTGCCAGACTTGCTGCGTGTCCGATAATGGAACTGCAATTGTTCGTGTCACGGCCCACACAGGTAAAGTGACGTCAACACGCAGATTCACCTGGCCAACACACACGCGCGAACATCACGCGCAGACCGGAACCACGGAAGCGTCAAACGCTGCTAGTCTGTTAGCAAGAGAACATCGGGAGAAAGTGTCACGAACCGAGAAGCTCGCAGCTCCTCCGCTTACCTGCAGCTCGGCCCGCTCCACGTCCCACTGAGCCCGCTCCACCTCGAACCGGGCCCACTCGTGCTGGAGGAAGTGTAAGATCCCCGGGATGCTGTACTGAGCCCGGGCCGCCTCCCCCCCGAACTCTCCGGGCTGCGCAGCAACGCCGGCCGAACCCGAGTTGTTGTTGCTGTTGAAGAACACACCGGGGCCCGCCTGCTCGTCCATTGTGGCCGAACCGGACCGGGGCGATGCAAAGAGCTGGTTCGGTCCGGTTCTGTCCCCCGACTCGGTTCGAAGTCCTGAGCGGCGGAACACAGTCCAACAACAGTTCTCAGCGCGGGACCGAAGAACTCCTGTCTGACCCAGCTGTCAGATGAGTCCGCCGTGAAGCTTCCGGTGTTTACAGGATGTTGCTTCCGGTCCGGACTTTCAAATTAAGACGTTTAAAACTGCGCAATGGAATCAAAAATACATTTTTTTTTGTTTTTGTTTGTTTTTACAAACTGAGGAGTTTTCTGAAAGTTTTAATGGAGAGGTTGTTTTACTCTGGTTACAGAAACATACTGAGCAACAGTTTTACATTACAGATCAAAGTTTTTTTTTAAATTCAATAGATATTTGAACTCAAATAAATTCAACCAGCATTGTTTTTTAATAAAATTACACAAATAAATTACCTTTATTCGCATTTCGAGCTAGACAATCTGCCACTCAGGTAAAAACAGCAATGTTTTAGGATATCGTTCTGTTCTCGTCTAAATTCCCACGCTAGCTTTTTACCTGAACTACCCTCAAACTGTCCAATCCGAGAGCAGAACTTCCAGATTATCGTCCACTAAAACGCTTCGCAAACTGCTGGGCGCGTCCTACATTGACCAATCGGAGAGCTCCTCTGAAAAACTCTTATTTTGAAAGTACAATTCTTCATTACTGACCTTGCTGCATTCAGCACGTGACAGCTTGACTCACCTGTGTGATGACGTCAGACATATTAAGCCAAGCCCACAGCTCTGAACGTGCTCAGGTGATTGGCTGGCTCCAGATGATTGACACGAGGTTTGAAAAGGTTTTCGTTCACAATCTGATTTAAAATCATGTTTAATACCAAATATAAATTAAATTAAATTAAAAACAACACAAATAAATAACAATCAACAACTAAATGATCATCAGCAGGTGATTTATTGTCTTATATTAATTTTTCAACTTCCTGCCAGTTTTAATGTAAATATATTTACATCATTATAAATGAATATTGTAAAATAACAGAATTAAAGAAGTCTAGTAAAAATAGTTTTTAATTTATGGATTTGTCTGAGGCTGTATCAAACCCATAAATTTGAGTTTAAAGTCTCAGGTGTTTTATTTTATTTAAACTTTTAGTTTAAATTAATTTTTTAAAGTTTTAAGAACATTGAGGGAAACTTTGAAGCTGCTGAAGGTGCAGCCTGTTTCTGATCTGAGGGTGGCGCCGCTGAATTAATAATAATAATAGTAATAATAATAATGATAATAATAATAATAATGATAGTATAAGTAATAATAATGACAGCGTCTCACTGATGAAGTCTGCTTAAATAATTATTTTAACTGAAGACAAAGTGAATAAAAACACTTTAAAGTTTTTATAATAAAATATTTTGTTTTCAGGAGTTTATAACTTTGATCAAACCCTTCGTGTCAAAATAAAAGCCCCTCAAAGAGCTCCATCTTCATCACGTGATTTCTCACAGATTTGATCAAAAACATCAAATCGTTCTTTTTTACTTCAAAGCTGCTTCTGATCACAAAACAACATTCAGCTGAAAACAAATAAACTTTAGAAGAATTTAGTGTTTTTATTTACCAACTGTTTTAAAGAGACAACAAACAAACAAACAAACAAAGCTCTTTGTTCTGCTTCTGGACTCAATAATCTGTTTAACTTTGATCATATATCTCTCATTTGTTGCTGAGCCGGTTCTGAACCGGTTCTGCAGCCGGTTCGGACCCGCAGACGGTGGCGCTGTGGTTCCGGTCCACGCATTAATCAGCTGATGTGCAACAGCTGCCTCTATTTAAGCCCGGTTCCGAGCCGCAGGTCCGTCCCAGAACCAGCATGGCTCCGTTTGACAGAACCCCGCTGCAGAACAAACCTTTCAAACAGAGGAAGAGCTTCGGTAAGTGACCCGGACCAGGATCAGAACCAGAACCTATGAAAAGTTCCGACTTTAAACCTGATCCGGTTCTGTTCTTTTCTTTGCAGCTACAAGGAAACAGGAGGTGGCTGGGATTCGGTCCAAGTTCCCCAACAAGATCCCGGTGAGTGTGTGGAGCAGATCCGGGCCGGTTCTGAAGGTTCTGGAGGTTCTGACCCGTTTCTCTTCTCAGGTCATCATCGAGCGCTATGACAAGGAGAAATATCTGCCTCCTCTGGATAAAACTAAGTTTCTGGTTCCGCACGAGCTCTCCATGACCCAGTTCGTCACCATCATCAGGTACTGGTCTGCGCACAACCCAACCAGTTTCAGAACCAGGACCGGGTGATTATGTTTACATGTGGATGATTTTTAAAAGTTCTGAACAAATCAAAGTTTCAGATTAATTCTTTTTTTTTATTTTTTATTTTATTTTATCATGTTGGACGGCTGAAGGGACCCGTCTAGCTCCTGGAATGTGAGAAGTGTATCCTCACTTTAAGCATTAAAGATGTTCAGTATCTGGTAAAGAGACCTGTCCATCTGTCTGCCCGTCCATCCTTGCCGTCAGTCTGGTCCTGGACTCGGGGTCTTCCTGGCAGCAGCAGGATCAGAGGTCCAGACCTCTCTTTCCACAGCCATCTCTTTTAGCTCCTGTAGGACTCTATGGTGTCCCCAGACCGGCTGAGAGACATGGTCTCTCAGAGTGTACTGGGTTGGGCTTTCTCCCAGTTGGACATGTCCAAAACCTCCCTCAGGAGGTGTCCAGGGTCCATCCTCATCACATGTCTGAACCTTCTCAGCTGTTTCCTGGATGTGGAGGAGCAGTTGTTCTACAAGAGTCTCTCCTGGAGACTTGAACTTCTCACCTGATCTCCCAGGAAAGTCCAGCTACCCTGTAGAGAACTCCTTTTTAGACCTGGATCCAGGATCTGGTTCTTTTGGTTTCATCCAGAGTTCAGGACCACAAATGGGGGTAGGAACATGGACAAAGCGCTAAAGGAGTGCTTCTTGCAGCTCAGCTCTCTTCACCACAATGGACCGGAACAGAGTCCACAATACTGCAGACGCTGCTCCGCAGTCTCCTTTCTCTGCTCGTCACTTACCCGGGTCCTCGCCCGTCTGACTGAAAAGGAACAGACCCACTAATCAAATTACTTCTTGGAGTATATGTGACTCAAGATGGCCAGCACCGCCTCCATCAGTTAAACGGACACGGAGCTAGAATCTGGTGGTAGTAGCTGAGAGTCGTTCTTAAGTTATTTTCATGGTCTAAAGTTTGTTTCTCATTCTGACAAAACTGTGTTCAGTCCTGACTCTTGCAGAGCGTAGCTAACTAGACTTTAGCTGTTTCCTGGCCCGCTGAACTTCCTGCCTTTTGGATCAGGTCTTGTGTTGACCAGCTCTGTTGGCATGGTTACTGCTGACCCTGTCAGGTTAACGAGGCTGGATGTGGAGTAGCTGGTTTATGTGGTTTCATGTTCAGACCAGTTTGCGGTTCGGCTGCTTTGTCCCAAAAGCGCCTTTTTTTTTTTTTTTTTTTTTTTTTTTTTTTTTTTTTAAAAGGACCATATCTGGCCCACGGGCCTCCTCTTGATTGGGTTTGTTTTTGTTTGGGACATTTCCCAGCTGTTGGTGCTTCAGTGACTCAGCAGAATCTTGTCACGTGTTTCTGGCTGAACTTTAATCCAACTCTCGGATCAATGTTGGACCGGGTCCAGTGACTCAATCCATCTGATAAAGTTCTGGAGTTTATCTGAGACTTCGTCACTCGCAGGCGAGGAGCACGTCGGCCCAGATAACAAAACAAAAGATCAAACTTTGAGAAGTTTAAACTGCTTTTTTTTTTTTAAATTTTTAAACCTTTCAAATCCTTCAGCTCATCATGAAACTAACGGTTCTGGTTCTGTTTGGACCCTTCAGGGTTCTGATCATCCCGTGCTTCAGTCTGAGCAGAATGAACCCTGCTGGACTTGAGATGGGAGACTCCTGTTCCGGCCCAGTCCCCGGTTCTGGTTTTCCTTTAGTGGTTTATAAAGTTAAAACTGGTGCCAGTCCTGAGAATGCTTCTTTTGGGTCTGGATCAGGCCCGAGCTGCTTGTTGGGTTCAAGGTTTTGATGTGGTTCTGGTTGTCCTCAGGAACCGGATGGCCCTGCTGCCCACCCAGGCCTTCTACCTGCTCATCAACAACAGCGGGCTGCCCAGCATGTCCCTCACCATGGCACAGGTCTACAAGGACCACCAGGACGAGGACGGCTTCCTCTACATGACCTACGCCTCGCAGGAGATGTTTGGACTCTGAGACGGGCCCGGAGACGCTCCGGCTCCAGGTTTTATTCTGCTCCAGGATGCTGTAAATAGAAAACATTTTTTATGGACTGGTTCTGTTTTTAATGTTCATCTAATAAATGTTCTGAATCTGCAGAGTCCGACTCGGAGTTTCTTTGAGGGGTGGGGCAGCTCAAGGAGTTTCTAGGACTGGGCTATTCAACTGGCGGCGCCTGTGGGACTTCAGTCCATCCCACCAATGAGTTACTGTAACTTTATTTATTTATATTTAGGTGGGTTTGGGTTCAGTTTATTGCATTTATCATTCAATGCAAGAAAACTATTTTAAAGCTAAGGATCATTGTAAAACATAGTTTATTTAAATTTAATGCTGGATGTCTGGCCCCTGAGCAGTTTTGTTGAATAGCCCTGTTCTAGGAGGTTCTTTGAGAAGGGATGGGTGAAGGGAGCTTCTGAACACTTTAGTTCCTTTTTTTAAATGAAAGTCCTGCTGCAGTTTGGACCTCGTGGGTCAATCTCTCTGGAGGAACCAGTCTGGACTCACTCTGCTGTCAGAACCAGGTACTGCAGGCTCTGAAAATCTGGACTCTTCAGGATTCCTTTTGTCCTCCAGGTGACTGCTCCTGGACCAGGATGTGGGTTTCTGGAGGCCAGCATCCTGAGCTTCAGATGTTTTGCAGCTGGTCTTTGCAAAACCCGTTGATCTGTTGCTGCTTTGCCTTTTAAGTTGAATACCCGTCTGCTCATAATGGACTCGTGTTCAGGCTGCTGTTTAATACACCATTACATTTAGTTTACATCTTAGATCCTTATACTGTTTTCATACCCCCACCCCCATTTGCGTGTAACTGCGTACATTATTTCATTCCACCTCATGCACCACGGGATGCAAATGACCAATAAATAACTACTTGTCTAATGCCTTTCTATCACGACACTAGAAGCACTTCAGTCTGTCATTTACCCTTTCATTCAGGACTCTACTAGACCTGCACAAAGAATCAGTACTTTATCACATTTATATGGAGGCAATGAGGGGTTCAGTGTTGTGTCCAGGGACACTTCGTGTGACTGCTGGTGGAACCGAACCTCCAAATCTTGCATTAAACGACTTCTCTAACCGCACATCAACCCCAACTGAGAACCTTGATCCGGTAAAGTCCAGTTGATCAAGAACTCTCTCTGGTGGATTGGGGCTTTTTTCCAATGAGCTGCTTTAAAATGAAACTTCTGCAAGAACGAAACCTTTAAATTATGGTTCGAGCTGCGAAGCGGGCAGGTCTCTCCGGAGACCACAGGAACTCAAACAGAACTGAACCTGAAGCACCATTTGAGCTCTGGTCCAAAATGTTCAGGGGAGGACGTCTCAGGTTGGACACTTTCAGAGGGACAGGGTCATGATGGAGGTCTGACTCCTGCAGGCGTCCTCTGACTTCAGCATGACATCAAACCTGGTGGACTCAGACAAGCTTCCTTCTGCTTATTTCAAATAATTAAGATTTTGCAAAGTCCTGGGACCTGAAGTCTTCTCCAGGAGTCATCAGTTTGTGAAACCTGACGGGTTTATCAGACACGTAGACCAGGGGTTTAGGCGCAGTGATGGAGGACTTCGTGTCTGGAACAGATCTGAAATTTGAAGCAGATTTTTAGGATCCTGACAGAAATATCAAGTCGAAACTTGTTTAGTGTTTCTGTCACTAATCTGCCTGGAAGGTTCAAGTGATTTTTTTTTTTTTTTTTATTTAAATTTGTCTGAAGCTCTTTTCAGACATCTTAAACTCATAGAGGCAAAAGTTGTTTTTCCAAACTCCAAACCAGAAATTCAACAATGACATGGACCTCTGCAGACCTGAACAACCCATAAGTTCTCAGCTGCAGGACCAGCAGAGGGCAGACTGGTTCTGCAGACCAGCTGAGAAGAGGTGACGTCATGTCCAAACAGGACAAACAAGAACTGCTGGAGCTTTTCAGGTCTGCAGAGCATCTGCTGGGCTGGGTCCAAAATGGTTCTGAGTTGATCGAGTTGACTTTGTATAATAGATGTATTTACATTTATTTAGTTTGGCATCAAAGTCGTTTTATTTTTATAGCACAAACAAATTTAATGTGCAAAATTAAAAGCCCAATCACCTCTGGACTTTGGATCTAGGAACATCTGAAAGGAACTGGTTGGACTGGAGTGCTCTGACTGGTGAACATAACATGACGTAAATATGACAGGGCCACACCTTAAACTTTAAAAACAATTGTTTCAATTCTTTTATTTTCCACATTACTCGTGGTAGAAACGCTTGTTTCTTGTGATTTCTCCTTTGCTGACCTGGATGTAAGAGCGAGCAGCAGGAGGTCACTTCAGATAAACCGACAGTCAGCCACTGAACGTCTGATTCTGCAGCCTGACAGTGGCGGTTCTACACCACTTTTGCTGAGGGGGCCTGGCTGGAGCCAGAGGTTTTTTGTCAGAGAGGCACATTCAATTAATTGATTTATTAAATCTTTCTTGTGCAGAAAATATCAAATCAATAATATCAAAATATTAATAATTACTGTATAATCTTTGTTCGGAGTGGAGGCCACAGGTGGGTCCAACCTCAGTGTTATGGGGGCACTGGCCCCTGTTAGACCCACCCCAGAACCGCCACAGCAGCCTGCGTGCATGTGAAACGGCTTTTCAGACTAAATGTTCACTTGTGCACATTACAAGTGAGTTTTTGCTCTTTACATCCAAAGTGAGCAAATTTGTCCAACAAGCAGTGTAGTGGGACTCTGCAGCGACTCTGGCTGGAACAGACGTCTCTCTACTGGGGGGTGGGGGGGGGGGGGGGTTACAGAAGCTCTCCAATATAAAAACAGAGCACCACTTAGTGGGCTAATATAAAAAAATCTAAAGTATGAGAATTGAGGTAAAAAGCTAAGATAGTACCTTATTGAACCAGCACGAAATTGTTGAAAAGCCGTTATTACTGAGAGGAAAGCATTATTTTATGATCTAATGAAAATGGGATTAAGAGTTCTTATTTACAGCGTTTTTTACAAGAGTGTACTAAAGTTACTGTGAGGTTGTTGGGGGGGGGGGGGGGGGAAAATCATCTTAAAAAAGTAGAATTTTTAGGCTTTATCAGAAATAATCATGTTTATTGACTGCACCAAAATAAATAGATAAAAACAGACAAAAAAAAACTGTGGCTGATTTTTCCTGAATTGTTGAAGATGAGTTAGAAGGCTGCATTTGATGCGCGGTGCCCTTTAAAGCAGATAAAGACTCAAACTGTTGACACAGTGCCGGAGATTCACAGCCGAGTTAGAAACAGCCTGTGGTTTTAAAGCACATTACAAAAGACATCAATCAGCAGTTTAACAGCTCTCTGATGATGTGATCATCTGTCTTTAAAGATGTGAAGTCTGCTGTCAGACTGACATCTGAGAAAGCAGGTGGTTTCATTCAGCCACAGCTGAAATGGAGACTCTGCCTCTTTGAGTTTCAGTGGAGCAACAGAAAATGAAGCGTCAAAAAGACCAGTGGACTTGTCCACTTTGGACACACGGCAGAACTGTGGTGGCAGGGTCCATTGAACTGGTGGACAAATGCACCGAGGAGGAGGAGATATTCATTCAACTTTTATTTAGACAGGTAGATCCCATTGAGCCTCGAGGACTCATTTACAAGAGAGACCTGATTTCAACAAAGAATGATGAAAAACAATGGACAACAGCGACAATAGACAGTTGTAAAAAGGCATACAGATTTTTTTTTTAACAAATAGGATGGCTAAAAAAGAAAAGTAACAAAAACAGCTAGATTCTAAGGCGAATGTAGAAAACTAAAAATAGGAACATGTCTGCATTGGACCCTGCCAGGAGTCCAACAGATTCTTAAAGCCACTTAGAGAGGTCAAGGTCGAGAGCTTCAAATCTTTTTGTAAGATATTCCAGGAAACAGGAGCGGAGTAGGAGAAGGCCCTTTTGCATAGTTCAGTCCTCACTGAGGGAACACTGCAGGTAATAATGTCCTGAGAGCGCACGCTGTAGCTGCACTCACGCAGAGACATGTAGGAGGAGATGTATGAAGGCAGCAGACCAAGAAGTGATTTAAAGATGAAAATGTACCAGTAAGAGAGTCTGCGTGAAGTTAATGATGTCCAGTTAGCCAGTGAATACAGGGTGCAGTGGTGGGTACGATAATCACAGCCAGCTATGAATCTTAGTGCACCATGATAGACAGCATCCAACATCTGCAGGGTTCTTGTAGGAGCGTTCATGTAAATAATGTCACCGTAATCAATGGAGGGAAGGAAAGTCTCAGATACAAGGCGTTTCCTATATTCAGAGTTAGACAGGAGCTGTTTCTGAAAAGGAAACCCAGTTTAACTTTCAGTTTCTTTATTAGGTTTTCCACATGGAGCTTAAAAGCGAAATACAAGTCGACCAAAATACCCAAATATTTATAGGAATCAACAAACTCAATCGGGACACCATTTGAGGATAAAATCTGAGGAAGAACTGCTGGGACCGACTTCCTGTTTGAAAAAAGTATCCCTTTGGTTTTGTCGGCGTTTAGGACAAGTTTGAGGTGGAACAAATCTGTCTGGATGATGTCAAATGCAGATTTCAAACGCTGGAAAGCCTTTTCAACTGTTTTAGCTCGACAATAAACAACTGTGTCATCAGCATAGAAATGTATGGATGCATCAGGGATGTTTTTACCTACAATACGTATGTAGATTGTAAAGAGGGTGGGTCCTAAGACTGAACCTTGTGGTACACCATTGTTATGCAAATATGCTAAGTTGATCCAGAGTGTTCCTTTCTATCAGAGGAAAGGACTGTCCTTCAGAGGTCCAGATGATTTGGACTGGACTAGAAAGATGTTGGACACACTGAAACCTTGTCCCAACAATAGTTTTAATTCCAGTGTTGGACATTTTGACAGAATCTGACAAATTAAATCAGTGTGTGAGGACACAAACACCTTCAAGACCTTTGTATGAGGACAGAGACACTTTAAAAACCTTTGCTGGTCTAGACTCTGGCTTCACGTTGGCTTGTGGACATTTTAACTGTTCAGCGAGTGAGGGTCAACGGGTTCTCTGTGATGCCTTTTTGTCCTCGATCGGTTCCCCTCAGGGCTGTGTTCTTTCACCCCTTTTATTTATTGTATACACAAACAATTGTTGCAGCTAATATCCTTCTATTACATTTTAAATATTACTCTGTCATCCTGTCCCTCCTCAGCAGTGATGACCCAGACCGTGGGTCTGTAGTCAGGGACTTCACTGGATGGTGTGAGTCTTCCTTTTTAAAGTTAAATGTTTCTAAAACAAATGAGATGGTCATTGATTTTAGAAAAGACTCTTCAGTTGCCAATCCTCTCATTAATGTTGAAGCTGCTGAGGTGATGCATCAATCTGGAAACTTTTCGATGACAAAACTGACCTGTGATGCACGTGTGAATTCACTTTGTAAAAGGGCCCATCAGAGAATGTATTTTTATCAGAAGCTCTGTGGTTTTAATGTTTATTTGACTTTTATGAAAATGTTTTATTCATTTATTGAATCTCTTTTAACTTTCACCTTCATCTGTTGCAAAAACAGGAACAAACTCTCTGGGATTTTCAGGATGTGCAGCAAAACTGCGGGCATAGCCCTACAGAACCTCACTGACCTATAGAACCTCAGTGACCTATATAAAATAAAATGTAATATTTGGATTTGTCCGTGTCCTAGTCTGACTGTCAGTAACTTTCAGCCCCAGACTTTAGTATTTTGTCCAACTTCAGTTTTTCTCTTTATTTTCCTCTGTTGTAAAAAGACTCCCTGACCTTTTCTGTTCACCTGATGTTTTATTTGCTGGGTGACACTTGTTGTTTTAACTCATGCACGTCCCTCACATGTTTAAGGACACTGGACACTGTGCAGAAAACTTTTGTAGGTAATTCATAGGACTCACTTTAGTGTTGAAGAAAAAATGATCCCAAGCATTTCCTCTGGAGTCTGTGCGGCTTCTTGTTAATCCATATTCAAATGTGTTTCCTGCTAAGCCTTCCCTAAAACCATCAAAACCATTCTGATGGTTGCTAATGGGACTGTAATGCTCAATTGGACAACCTCACCTGTCCTCCATTCAAAACAACAACTCATAATGAAGAATCAAATGAAAAGGAGCAAAAGGAACCTGGGAGCCAAGTCACAAATACCAATGATGAGGTTCAGTGAGGTCTTTGGACTGGTTCTACCAGTGTTGAGTGTGGTCCTGGTGGCTTTTGGATTTGTTCTATTAGGACTGACTGTGGTCCTGGTGGTCCTTGGACTGGTTCTACCAGGGCTGACTGTGGGCCTGATGGTCTTTGAGCTGGATCTACCAGGGTTGACTGGGCTCCTGGTGGTCTTTGGACTGGCTCTATCAGGTTTGATTGTGGTCCTGATGGCCTTTAGACTGGTTCTACCAGGGTTGATTGTGGTCCTGATGTTCTTTAGACTGGTTCTACCAGGGTTGATTGTGGGCCTGGTGATCTTTGGACTGGTCCTGCCAGGGTTGTCTGGGCTCCTGGTGGCCTTTGGACTGGTTCTGCCAGGGTTAACTGGGCTCCTGATGGTCTTTGGACTGGTTTTACCAGGGTTGATTGTGGGCCTGATGGTCTTTGGACTTGTTCTACCAGGGTTGATTGTGGGCCTGGTGGTCTTTGGACTGGTTCTGCCAGGGTTGTCTGTGCTCCTGGTGGTCTTTGGACTGGCTCTACCAGGGTTCACTGTGGTCCTGGTGGAGTTTAAAAAGGAGGTAGCAATTAGTAACTTAATGAAAGTAAAGATTGTAACAAGGTCTTAGGTCTTGGCATGGTCTTAGGTTTCAGGTCCCCAGTCCTCCTGTCTATCATTCTTCTATGGCCCTTCCCATCACCTGGGTCATATGTCTCTTTGTCCCCTGACCAACAACAGATTGTCTCTCATCCCACTGCCTGAAACAGACTTGAGTTGGGCCAGCTACCCACCAATTCTGCATTGTATTCCTGACTGCTTACATAGTGGTAGGTCCCGGTGTCCCTCTCTGAGGTCTTGATGAAGTCTGAGGACAATCTCGGGGTTTGGTCTGGATGCTATGCTAACTATACTTAGCTGTACACAGTCTTCGTCCCTCCATCACAGTGGAATAAACAGTCTTGATGATGTCTAATGAAATCTAGTAAAACAGCTTGTGGAGAAGACACGATGGAGAACCTGGTGGAGTGAAGCAAACACAATGACAGGCAGAAGAGTGAACAGACACCTGAATGACAAGGCTGATGAAGAAGTTGCTGCAGCTGGGATTGACAGGATTGGAGACAGTTGTCTATGGGTCTAGCATGACGAGATTAGAGACAAGTGTGGGTGAGCTGGTCTGGTTGATTATGAAAATGTATTGAGAGTAGATGATGGTGGCATAAATAAATAATCTGAAGAAAATCTCCAAAATGTCCAGAAATGTTTGTGGGGTCTTCAGTTTCCTGGTTTGAGTCATGGAGGATCGCTGTTTGGTCAACTGAACTCTGAAAATGTTAAAAATAACAAATTTACTCTCCAAATAGTCGCTGTGTTCTGTTCTGTATGAGGAAGTTGGAGCCAAGACTGCAGGCTGACTTGACAAGCTCAAAAACAGTGTTACCAAGCCCACTCAAAACTTCTGCCTCAACTTTGACAACATCACTCTCACTCCATTCCCACTCATTCGTAATCTTGGTATTCTTCTCGACTCCACTCTTTCATTCGAATCACACGTCAAACAGATAACTCGGACTGCATTCTTCCATCTCAAAAACATAGAACGACTCCGCCCATCACTCACTTTCTCCACTGCTGTAATCCTTATCCATGCCTTTGTCACATCCACAATCGACCATTGCAATAGCATTTTGTACGGTGCACCATCCAAAACTCTCAACAAACTGCAATATGTTCAAAACTCTGCCGCCCGCCTTCTCACCCACACCCGCTCCCGTGAACATATCACTCCTGTCCTGCAGAAACTCCATTGGCTCCTTGTCACTCAGCGCATCCATTTCAAGATCCTCCTCATCACATTCAAAGCCCTCAATACCTGATCGACCTACTCCATCACTACACTCCTTCTCGTTCCCTCCGCTCCTCCGATGCCAACCTTCTGTCTCTCCACTGTAGGACCAAGCTTCGAACCTGGGGAGACGGAGCCTTCTCCATCGCTGCCCCCACCCTCTGGAACTCACTGCCCCAACAGCTTTGTGCCTGCTCCGATCTCTCCACTTTTAAGAAAGAACTCAAAACCCACCTGTTTAAAATTGCTTTTAATGTTTAAATGTGCCCTTTTTAAATGTTTTACTGTGTTTTTATGTGTTATGCATTGTTGATTTTATTTTTATTTATTTATTACTCATGTAAAGTGTCTTTGAGTATTTAGGAAAGCGCTATACAAATAAAATGTATTATTATTATTATAAAATAAAATTAAACTAAACATCCACATAGTGAAGGAGGCACCAGGAGAACCAGACGTGGCACAAAGCACCTCAATCCTCCACTGATGATTGTGGTGGAACTGGAAGACTACGAAGACTGTGCTGATGAGAGAAATGTCTGCAGCTGCGACCGTGAGGCAGGGACCAGGTGCAGAATCCACCTGAAAACAAACCAGCCCAGCAGAGGACGATCAACAGACGGCATCTGAAAGACTTTCAGAGAGTCTGAACCAAGACCAGATTCTGGTTGACTGGAGGGAACCAGCGTCTGGATGAGGATCATCATAACAGACTTCATGTGAAAATGAACGTTCAGCTCCAGGGCTGCTCTGTTCGGAGGAGTTTCAGGACCTGAAGGTGATTAAAGATTCACAGGAAGACCTGAGTGAGGAGAGAGAGCCTCCAGACCAGGACTTCCCTGAGCCTCCATCATCTGCAGGGAGGGAAAACAGGCATCCACACACACACTGCCTCCCACGTACACGTACACACACACACGCACGCACTGAGCCGAGCGCTAGCAGAGCTTTACACACAGCTTCCCACTAAACCAGACAAAGGGACTGTAATCTGCCAGGATGGAGGAAAACATGGACGAATCTCAGAGCCAGAAAGGTAGGACACGGGACAGATGGAGATGTTTGTGTCCTCCATCAGCTGCTCGGTTCGGTCGTTGTTCTGTTCGTCTGCCCGTCTGGGTTTCATGGGATTCCTTTGTGCGTTTGAACCGAGAGAACCGAGGTGGCGTTCCCGCTCTGCAGAGACAGAACCGCCGTGCTCAGGGTTCATTTGGACCCTGGTTCTGAGCTCAGATCCACGTTTGTCATGGCTGTTTTCTGCAGAAATGTGGAGACGGGCCGTGAATGTAGATGAAGCTGTGGACACGTCTGCTCCAGATCATCAGAACCAGATCATCAGAACCAGATCATCAGAACCGTTTTCCTCCGATGAATGGAGCAGAAATAAACAGATTGTTAGTTGGGGGGGGTGGAGGGTGGGGGGCCTCTGGAAGGACAGATGGACAGATGGATGGATGGATGGAGGAGGTGGGAGTGGCTCGGGGGGAGTGTGGCTCCAAACGTTGAGCAGGAGCGGGTTTAGTCGAGCAGAGATTGATGTCTCCGTTGGCTTTTCTTTGTTCGTCTCCATTGTTGGAGCTTCACGCCTGTCTGAACGCCTTTTCCTCTCCTCCTTGCTCGCCTCCTCACCCCTCCTCACTCCTCCTCGCCTCTCTCCATTTTCTTCACATCTCGTCATCAGAGGCCCTCCGCGCCCATCAGGGTCCCTGCTGGGTCCTGGTTCTGAAACCTGTATCTGGACTTGTCACCGTTGGTTCCTTCCCTTCTTCTCCACTTCTCTTCCTCCATTTCTTACCTTTTTCTTTTCTTTTTTGTTTTAGTCCGAATTAACTGATGAAACAGTTTTTTTTTCAGCCACGACAACGTCAAGTTTATGAGTCACCTCAACATAATTGTTGTTATTGTCGTTGTTGTTGTCGGGGCTGAAAATGGGCGTGTCCGTCATCTTCGTTGCACCTCCAGTCCTGAACTCGACGCATGCCGTCGAGCTCCCTCAGGTCCACAAATAAAAAACACAATTTAACCATTTAAATGAAAGATAATCAATTATTTTCTGGTATTTTGGTTTTTAAAAGCTGTTTCCACGGCAACATGTTTGTGGCATCGCCTCCTGTCGTGTGATTGGTCGATTCAGGTGTTTTTTTCTGGAAGGAGCTCCTCTCAGCCAATCAGAGAGCTGAACGTCCAGACTCTGTTTTCCAGCAAACATGATTTTTATTCCAGGCTCTTTGCCTTTTCCACCCCCTCCCCCCACGTCTCACCTCGTCTTCAACGTCCACGCCGTGTTTCGTGGTCGGGCCTCGCCCGCCCCCCCATCTGCTCAGGTGTGATGAAACCAGGGAAGATGAGAGTAAAGAGAAATAAAGACATATTTGAATTAGTCAGTGATTTTTGGTCCACTTTGGTTGATTTGTTGGCTCAGATCTGCTGCAGGAGGCTGACGAGCTGATTTAAACAAGAATAACTCGTGACATTTACTAAACCACATTAAACTCCTTAAACTCATAAAGGTCAACCCTCCTGCTGCCCTTGGGTCAAAATGTCCCACGAGGTCTTCTTCTTAGAACGGAGGCCTCACTGGTAGTTTTGACCCCAGTGCAGAAGGAGGTTGACCTGAAGACGCAACAGAAGGGAATCATGTTCTTAACAGGACACAAACATCTGGTTTAGGCGGAGAAAGAAGAAAATACAGATGTTTGATTCTCTGTAGAAACCTTTGACCCCCGGTTGTTTTTAATCCTGAGCAGGAAGTTCAATAAAACAAACGTTACGAGATGTTCTGTTGTTTAAAAAGCGTCTCGATGGTTTCCTCTTCCTGAACAAGTTGAGCTGCTGCCTGAACCAACAAGACTCGTGTCTTTGAACCCGTCCGTCAGAAACTACAACAAAAATCATTTTGTTTCTGATTTTAGTCTTCATCTTGTGATTTAAAGAGTAGTTACAGTTAGTTACAGTTACAATTAGTTACAGTTAGTTATGGTTAACTACAGTTATTTACAGTTACAGTAAGCAGTTACAGTTAGCAGTTACAGTTAGTAGTTACAGTTATTTACAGTTACAGTAAGCAGTTACAGTTAGTACAGTACAGTTACAGTCAGTTACAATTACAGTTAGTTACAATTACAGTTAATTAGCAGTTACAGTGACTGTTGCAGTTAGTTAGTAGCTACAATTAGTTACAGTTACAATTGGATGTTGCAGTTAGTAGTTAGTTAGTTACACTGTTAGTTACAGTTAATTACAGTTAATTACAGTTAATTAAAGTTAATTACAGTTAGTTACAGTTACAGTTAGTTACAGTTAGTAGTTACAATTAGTTACAGTTAGATGTTGCAGTTATAGTTAGTTAGTTGGTTATTTATTTATTTAGTTGTTTGGTTAGTTACACAGTTAGTTACCATTACAGTAACAGTTAGTTAGTTAGTCATTTACAGATGACATCATCTGTTTCAGACCTTTAAGTCAAAGAAACACGTCTGTCTGTCTGCCTGTCTGTATGTCTGCCTGTCTGTCTGTCTGACGGTTTACAATTAGTTACAGTTAATTGGGTACAGT